CCCGCCTTCTCCCTCCAGGTGGCCTCCCCCGGCTCCCTCACCGCCGAGCGGAGCTGGTGTTCCAGCAGCAGGTCGAGGCTGCACAGGTAGCAGCTGCGGAGCTCGGCGGCCTGGCTGGCGCTGGGCTCTCCGTGGGCGATGGGCCCCACCGTATGGATGACATCTGCAGGAGGCGACAGGGTCAGGCCGGGCGGGGTCTCCCTGCGGTCCTCGGCTCTCCCCTTGCCGGCCTGGGCCCTGGAGGAAACAGGAAACGGGCCCTCTACCCTTCGCAAGTTACGAGGCTCTCCAGGGGAGGACCTCACCCTTGTGGGCATACGTATATGCCCCTGAGCCTAAACCCACACCCCGACAGACCCCGGACCAATCCCCACATCTGTAGGCACCCGGCTGAGAGGTGGGGTGCGACTGGATATGCGAAGGCCCAGTCGCCTTAGCTCCCCTCCCCCTTTCAGGTCCTTGAGCCTCCCCAGCCTCCACACATTCCCCTTCCACCTGCTTCCTGGGGTGTGCGGGAAGCGGCTAGGTCCTGGCACTTATGGCTAAGAAGTGCCCCCTGAGAAGGACTCCAGAAATTCTGAGGAGCGCACCATTAGCCCCCAATAACACCAAGCGCCCTTTCTGCACCCCACAGGTCTAGGGGTGTCGGGACTCACACTTAGCCGGCAGCCGATAGCCCCCAGTAATCTTGGCCTTGCCAGTCTCGCAGCTCTGCAGGGTCCGGCACTCGTCTGTGAGCAGGGGCCCGGCGGCCCGGTGAATGCAGCCGTCCACTGCAGAGGAGGGACAGTGAGCAGTGGGCTCCTCGCGTCCCACCCGAGCTCGTTTTACAGAGAAGGCTGATGCCCACGAGTGAATGGTCCCAGACCCCTCGGCTGTGCTGGGACTTACCCAGCACCGCGGCTTTTCCCCCGCAGCCTTCAGCCGCTCCCGTCACCCCCGACTCCCCATTGTTTTGCATCTGGGGAAACCTGTCCCCTCCAGGCGCAGAGCGCGGGACCCCTACGGGAAGCGACGCGGGGAGGCCAGCAGGGGGCGCGCCCGGCCCGCCTTGCTCTTTACCGGCTTCGCTGCTGGGGCGCTGGCCGGCAAAGGCCTCCCAGCCAGGGGCGGCTCTGGGAGGCGGGGTCTGGGCGGCCGGAACCGCCATCCGCACGCGGCCAGGTGGAAATTCGTACTCCTGGCTCGGTCTGGGTAGGCCAGCCAGCACCGCGCACCCGATCCCATGGCCGACTTCCCCAGGCGAGGCCCCTCGGGGACGCCCAAGCTCTAGGATCCACGTTACAGACGAGGAAACTAAGGCCACCTAGTTACAAGTGGCAGATTGGGTCGGGCCTTGAGCCTGGTCTTCCAGTCCCTTCCCTGCACCGGGCATAGAGGTGGGCAGTCCGTGGCTCCCGCCACGCAAGAGTCTCTCGGCGCACGCCCTGCTTGTTAACGAACCGCCTGGTTAGTGCATCTGACTTAATTGGGGCGGGCCTGGGCTTGTTGATGCGAGGGCCTTGGCAGTGACCCTGGGGATCCTGGCACAGGTAAACAACTCGGGTGCTGCGGGAGGCAGGAAGGAGATGCTCCTTCAGCTCCACCTCGCTGGGTGGCCAGGGCGTAGGGGGCCCCTGCGGAAGGGGCGGGGCTCAGCCTCAGCTGGCACGGGTCAAGTCCCCCAAACCTTCTCATCGCCTGTGCAAATGGGACACACTGGCAGGTCCTTTCTCCTCTCTGAGTGTCCACTGCCTCATCTGGAAGATAGGGACAGTGACCCCTGCTCAGGGGTGGAGTTGGTATCCTGGCCAGGAGAACGCAACCCACTTCTGGCAGCTCCCAGCTCCCCCACAACCTAGGCCTGTGTGGGGAGCTCCTTGGGCACCAGCAGCTGAGTGCTCACACTGCTGGGCAGCGGGAAAGGACCGCCCTGTCCCCGTCTTACAGATGTGCAAACTGAGGCCCTTCCTCCTCCATCACAGCCCCATCCCCAACCTCTTGGCACACACCCAGGGACACCAGCTGGACCCTCTCTTTCTCTTGTTTTCTTTTGTGCCCTGTGGGGCCCAATTAAACTTAATTTTGTGGCTTCACTCAGAGCTGGCACCAGGTGATTTCTCAGAGTGTCCCATGGGTGGGGGTGGCTGGGGTACAGGAGTTGGGAGAACCCTGGGATGGGCTCTGGGACTGGGTCCCCACCCCCTCCTCTCCTGTGCAGAGATAAGGGCAGCTGCAGCCCTGGGGTGTGGGAGTGTCCAGGCGCCACACACGGGGTGCACAGCCTGGTGTGTGCAGTGTGTCTGCTCTGGGTGGGGGTGTCGGGTGACCACCCAGCATAGCGAGCAGCAGCAGGGGCTGTGGAGCTAGGCTGCCTGAGTTCAAATCCCAGTCCCGCCAGTCACAGATGTGTGACCTAGGCACATCGCTTATCTCTCTGGACCTCAATTGCCCCATCCATAAAATGGGATAATAGCAGACGGTCACCTCATCACAGGGCTATTGGAAGGATTGAGGGAGTTTATTCTGTAAGGTGCTTAAGCCAGTGCCTGGAATGAGTTAAGGTTGTGAATGTTTTGGTGGTTATTTTATTAGGATAATGCGACAGTCTGGGCATGTGAGTATAATGGCAGGCGGGTGTCCAGGCAAGGTGTGCTCGGGGTGGGTGGAGATGAGCAGGGGATGTGTCTGAGCCAGCTCTCCTGGGGTCTCCTGGCCCTGCCCCAACGGTGTCAGCCACTTGGCACCCAGCTGCCTGCCATCTCCCAGAGCTGTCCGCACTGCAGGTGACCTTGGCCCATTCAGGGAACTGTGTAGAAGTGGATCTCACTGAGATCTGTGTTTCAAGGATTTAATGTTTCCTGCGGAAGTGGACAGGCCTGCGGCCAGGCCTTTGGGGCTGACCTAGAGGATGAGGTGGGAAAAGGAAGGAGGAATTAGAGCTATCAGAGAATGGGGCGGGAGCCCCCCAGCAGCGACCAGAACAGGACCAGGACCAGTGACTTCTGTGCAGGTGCCAAGGGGAGCAGTCTCCCCAGCTCAGAGATGAGGGACAGGCCTGGGGCACCACCCCTGGGCCGGAGCACAGATTGGCCGGGCATTCAGGGTCTCAGCAGCCTGGACCCTCCTGCCTGCCCCCTCCCTGTCCACACACCTCAGCGCTCCAGACAG